GGGGGAGAGAATGAATTAGAAAATCAGTCCAGGCGTTCTGACATCTAATTAACAGGGCTTTTAGATAGTAAGAAAGGAAAGTGGAGGTGGTAAATTAAACGGGAAATACAATACAAGAAAATTTCCCAGAATGGAAGGATGGAAAGCATTGGTTTCTGAACCGAAAGGACCTACATAGTATTCAGCACAAAAAAGGGAAAGAGGCCGACATTAAGGCCTATCGTTGTAAAATTTTTACATTCCTATGGATAAACACATGAGCCTTAAAGTTTTTAGAAAGCCACATACAAAAATATATCAGGAATCAAAAGGTATTAGACTTCTTAACTGGACACTAGAAGACAACGGAGCAATGACTTAAAATTTCAGAGGAAAATAATTTCCTACCTAGAATTCTGCACCCACCTAAATTAACATTCAAGTGGGGGATTCAATGATGACATTTTCAAATTTGAACAGACTCAAAAAATTAACTTTCCAGGAGTACTTTCTTAGGAAGCTACTGGAAGATTTTTTTTCTATCAGAAAGAATTATCCAAAAAAAGAAAGACGTGGGTTTCTGGAAATAGGGAATCCACAGAACAGAGAGGTGAAAGGAATTCCAGGATGGAGGTGGGAGGAAGTGCTAGAATGACAACTGTGCAGCGGGATGGAAGCCCGCAGGGTCTTGTGGGCGTGGCCTCAAGATCAAAACAGGAAGAAAACCAAACTGAGGGATTTCTCACGTGTCTGACCTTATGGAGAGGCGCTTTAAGATTTCTGCTGAGCGTTTTAGGGATAAATTCGTAACAATACATATGTGGGCACATGTATACAAACATTAAAAAATGATTTAACCAAAAATTGTAAAAAATGATTTAACCAAAAACTCCATTGAGAGGGTGGGGGAAGGGTTGCTTGTGTGCCTGTGTATGAGAGAGGTGAATCTTACTCTACGGAAGGAAGTTAATAGATTCAACCAGTGTCTACAATGGAAATGGCAGTAAAGCATGTTATGAAGAAATATGGAGGACAATGCCAGAAGAAACTAAGAGATTTGAATATGGTTGCCTTTTGGGAGTGGTATTTGTGAGTGGGGCAGGGGACGACTTTCCCCTCCTTCCAGTATTAGCTTTGTGGTGTTAGATAACTTAAAATCATACATATGAATCTTAGGTCTTTATCAAACAGAAGTCTGAACCTGCTCTTGTCTCCTGCTGCCCTTCCAGCCTCTCGTGTACCAGAGATAGTTATTTTTCTTACGGAGATCAAGGATTCTCCCACAATTAATTAATCAATTAGTTCAACACATAATTATTAAGTACCAATAATTGCCAACCCTGAGGAAGTTAGTTTAGTCAGGAAAATCCTGCTGACCAGAGACATCTTTCAATATCATCCAATTTACTTGTAATGAATTAAGTGGGAGGCTTTTCAGCTCAGATTTCTCTTCCACACACAGGTCAGGCAGTGAAGGGCTGGCAGGGGTGCTGAGAGTGGGGGAGGAAAGGGAGGATTTCAGGGACAGAGGCAGCAGCCAAGGGCTGTGAGATGAGTGTGTGTGTGAGGTGGGGTGGGGGGGGCAGGGAAAAGCTACCAGAGGAGGGGGGCCCCCTCTTCCTCCTGGAGGTGGTTGGGGGTGCCCTAGGTGTAGCAGGGGCCTGCCTTTCTCACTATACCCCACAAACTCTAGGGATTCTTGAAAGAAAAGAGGAGACTTTCTGTCCACCATCTGAGTCAGTCCTCTGCAGTCCTGGCCTGGAGGAGGGAGCTGACCCTGAAAACACATTTTGAGCCATCTTGGGAGGCTGTGTTTATACCTCCTACCTCCCCATCATGGAGCTCTGTGAGGCCTTCATGTACTTACACACGCACCCCCCACACACACACACGCGCACCACACACACACACACGCACCCCCCCCACACACACGCACACGCACCACCACCAAACACAAACACACACACACGCACACCACACACACACACACACACACACACACACGCACCCACACACACACTCACACACACACACACACGCACTCACACACACACGCACTCACACACACACACGCACCCACACACGCACCCACACACGCATTCACTCACACACACACACGCACCCACACAAGCACCCACACACACTCACTCACACACACACACACGCACACACACACTCACACTCCAGGTCTCCTGTAGAAAACTCAGCCGACTGCCACTGTAGGCAGGGCACTCGCATTTCCTGTCCAGTTCTGCTAGTGATGTTCAATGGCGCATCACAGTGACATGAGGGAATGTGAGGAGGAGGAGCACCAAGTGTGTGGTTTTTTTTTAAATGACATGATTATAACACTATGTAATGAAAACAGTAAATCAGAAAGNCCATCCATCCTGATAGGCTGCAGATTCCTTTTCTCTTCAGAGCCCCTGAGACATGACCAGGGCCCCCCGAGGAGGCCAGTAGGAAGGTCTGGTGCATAGGATACTGTCTGCCAACACTTCCTGGGAAATGCAGGCATCCTTGGGACTTCTGGGACAGGTGGGAGAGCTCCACTCAGTATTTCCCAACTGCAGGCACCCCAGGCTCCTCAGGTTTGAGTCCCTAAGGCCTGTAATAATTTGATACCTTGTAAGGCCTGCTGCCTGGTGTGGTGGAAAAAACACTGAACTCAAAGCCAGGACTTGCACTCAAATCTCAGTTCTACCTCCTCCCAGGTGACCGCAGAGAGTTTTAGGGATAAATTAGTAACAATACATGTGTGGGCATATGTACATAAACATTAAAAAATGATTTAACAGGACAAGCTATGTGGTCCTGCTGAGCCTCCGTTCCCTCATCTATAACATGGGAGTGGTAGGCCCAGGTCTCCCAGGTGGTTTTAAAGATGAAGGAAGATTAGAAATGTGAAGGAACCTAGTATCGTGCCTTAAAGAGCAGACCCTTAATAAATATTAATTTAACCGAAGTGGGCATCTGATGAGGTGGCATGTGATAGGAGCCCAGTATAACCTTGGACTAAGAAGAGTGGAAGAGAACCACATAGCTAGTCAATTACTGCTGGTTGGAAAAATAGCCTTTTGGGGAGAAGCAAGGGGAGTGAGCAGGCAGGAAAGCGTCAGCTTAAGAGATGGCTGTGGCCATACAGTTTCTCTCTTGCTACTATGAGCTAAGTTGTGTCTCCCCGGATTCATATATCCTAACCCCCAGCACCTCAGAATATGACTGTGTTTGGAGTTAGGGCCTTTATAGAGGTAATAAAGTTAAAATGAGGCCAGCAGGGTGGGTCATAATCCAATATGACTGATGTCCTCATAGAAGAGATTAGTACACAGACAGGTACAGAGGAAAGACCATGTGAAGACACAGGGAGAAGACAGCTATTTACAAGCCAAGGAGAAAGGCCTCAGGTGGAACCAACCCTTCCAACACTTTGATCTTAGACTTCTGGCCTCCAGAGCTGAAAGGAAATAAATTTCTGTTGTTGAGGCCACCCAGTCTGTGCTACTTGGCTCTGAAATCCCTAACACACATGCCTTATACACAACTGAGTGTGTGTCTCCCCTTGCAGTGGGGTCTCAGGCTGCATGGCATTTAGGAGGTTGGAGATGAGGTGAGGCAATAGTCCTGCTCCTCTCAGAACTGGTTAGATCAGTTAACTGGTTTTGTCAAAATCTGAAAACTAGCCACAATTTAGGGGAACTGCTGCTAAATGGAGCATAAAGGAGAGACCGTGGCGGGGAAAGGACTCGGGGCCATGCCAATGAGACAACCTCCTCTCCAAGCATCTGAAGTCATTTCTAAGTATCACTTCTGCCCCAGATGGCATCAGTGCCCTCACCAAACAGTGAATAGCAGGTGGTGTGGGTGCTGTGGAAATGATCCAGGCTACAGGCCAGGGCTCAGAGCTTCGTGAATCATTCTTCCCAAACCTGAGCTTCTGTGATTGGACATCCTCAGCTCCAAACGCCTCTCTCTGGCCCTCCACGCTAGCTGGTCCTATTTCCCACCTCTTCAGGCCTGTTGTTTGCATGTGCGTGTGAGTGTGTCTATGCACGTGCACATGTACGCACTATATCCAGTCTCCACCATCAGACTGGGAACTCCTAAAGGGGGCGGCGATCCTACCTCCATCTACCTCCATGTCCGTCAGCAGTGCCCACTCTCATCAAGCTGCTCACACCCGGTCTCTCTCCTCTGAAAGGTCTCAGAGCCCAGAAAAAGATGGGAAATAATTCCTTAGGCTCTTACAAATCCCCCTACTGGATGGGGCTCACTACAGCTGGGCAAGTGGAGTGTCCTGTGGGCACACTCAGGGCCTGGGGGCCAGGAATCTCTGAGGAGGGGCCTGGAGGGCCAGAGTTCCTGGCGGCTCCTCTCCAGCTCTGCACAAGGCCTCATTTATCTAAGGGGAGCTGCACTGTGTGAGTTAGCAATTGTATTCTTCAGGTCTCAGAGTGGGGCTGAAGCCACCTGGGGCCAACAGGAAAGTGAAGCAACAGAGGATGATAAAGGAAGGGCCCTTCTGCCCAGCACTCTCTCCTTGGCCCCAGCCCTCCCTGGGAGGGGCCTCAGGCCTGAGCTGCAGCTTCATGGCACTTTGGCTCTGCATGCATAAGGGGTATTAATAATTCATAGAAATCTGCAAGTTAAATGCTGTGTCAAAAATAGAAATGCAATTGTCTACAATAAAAATTAAAAACATAAAGTCCCCAAATCTAAAGCTTCTATTGACAGAGTTTTCTGTCTTCTGAAAGAACAAACCTCTCACTGTGTTGGGGAGAAAAACAAATCTCTCCATATGTTGTTGGCTTTCTCCCTTACCCCTCTTCAATCACCAGCCTCCATCAGTCTCTCCAGAGAGGGTTTTATAGGCACAGGGCTTGCGTGTGGCCTGTTCTCTCCTTACCACATCCTTATTGACCTCACTGCCTGCAGCTGGGCCTCTGAGGCTCCAGCTCTCGGGGGCTGGGATTCTAGAAGCTGGCTGCAGATGAGAAGGCCTTTCCAGAGAGTGGGCCAGAGTGGAAGAAGTGGGCAGGCATGAGACAGGCAGTAGAAGCCCCTCTGTCTTCCTCAAAAGACACAGACAGACAGACACCAAGGGTTGCTATTCAGGAATCAGGAGACCTGGATTCTAGCTTTACCTCCCTCTTAACCAGCAGTGTGGCCTTGGGCAGATCACTTAGCTTCTCTGGGCCTCTGTTTCCTCACCTGAGAAAGAAAGGTATTGATAGACCAGCGCTGTTCAAACACCTTAAAGCTGGAAGATCCTGTTTGTATGTGAAATCTTACCTTGAACCTCAATAGAAAATGTAAATTAAAATGGAGCAGAATCCTAATTATTAGGCTCCCTATCCCTACCATTACTCTCAAGAAACCCTAGGGTTCTGGGAAAAACAGAAGGAAGTGCTATGGTCTCAATAAATTATTTCCAAATGCAGACCTGCCTCAGAATCATCTGAGGAGCTTATTAAAAATAGAGATTCCCTGGGCTCCAGAAGGTGTCTGCTGGAGCCTCGGAATGTGTCTTTAACTCCAACCCTCTGTGACTCTGGTGTGTAGCCAGGTTTGGGTGCTGCTGAACCACCTGGTCCCCCAGGTCCTTTCCTGCTCTAACAAAGTCTGGCAAATCTGTGCCTACACCATTGGCCCTGAAGGTGTCCCTCCTGCCCATCCCCTGTGACCTAGATGTTCACAGCCTCCTCAAATATCTTGCTCCTGCTCAGCAAGCCCTGTCTTCTCTGGCTTTGCAAAGCTTCGGGCCCCAGGGGGTGGCAGCCACCTATGTCACTGAGCTCCCTCCAAACAGGAAACAGGAAAGTCAGCCTTAGGGACTCGCTGCTTCTGAGGAGCTTGGTTCTGTGGAGGGTGAGGAGGGGCACCGACAGGTGGAGAGTGTTGGCTAAAACGAGGCTTGTGGATTGTCTGTGGCATCCAGGGATGGATGAAACAAGTAACTGTAGAGTACTTGAGTCTGCAAGGCGCTTCAGGCATCTGAGCCTTCTGCCAACCGTGACAGCCAAGAAGGAAGGTTGATTGTTGTTGTGTCAATTTTGCAGATGGGAAAGCAGGGACCACAGTAACTGAGGGCTTTTTTCAGGGTCAGCATTGGACCTGAGACCTGAATTTAGGCCTGTGAGGTTATAAATCCCATCTCCCTTTCCCACAATGGTGGTTCCCAGGTGTGAGATCTGGATTGGTTGAGGCTGCATCAGAATCACCTGTGAAGCTGAGAAATATAGACTCTGGGGCCTACAGAATCAGTGTGTGTGTGTGTGTCTGTGCACGCGTGCACAAGCGCGTGCACATGCAGGGGGTGAAGGCGGGGCATCTGAAACTCTGTAAATGCCGGTAATCCATACCCCGCTGTCTCTCCTCCTCACTCCATACCATGCCCTCTCTGCCATTTCTGGCCCAGAGCCCATGGCAGCTGAAGTGAGTACCTATGCACAAGGACAGAAGCAATCTATGAGAAGAATTCAGCTCTTTGTAGGGACCGCAGGCTTAGAGAGGTTGAGTAAGTTGCCTCACGTCACACAGCACTTAGATGGCAGACCTTTGGTTCCAAGCTGTGTGTATTGCAGTGTCTAATGATGCTGATGACCATAAATAGGAGGGAGGGTATTCAGAGTGGGAGAGGAATTCAGTCCTCCAGGGTGCGCATAAGGGATGCTCAGACCTCTTACAGAGCCCCACCAGGATCTGGCGGGGCCACCTACCGTCCAGCCTGGTGGGCAGGCACACTCGCCAGTGATGTGGTGGCAGGTGCCCCCATTCTGGCAGGGGCAGCGCAGCTCACAGTGAGCCCCATGGCTCCCAGGTGGGCACAGCTCCTCGCAGCTGCATGGGGAAGCAGAGGTGTTAGACACAGCAGCGCTCAGATCAGGTGGCAGGGCCCCCAGTTGCTGCCAGTTCCAATGCTCCAGGGCTTCCTAGGAATTAGTGAGTTCGCAGTCATGAGCTGTACTAGGCCTAAGTCAGCTAAGATGCAGTCCTGCTTCCTGCCAGGAGGGGAACGCAGGGCTCAGAATAATCAGCTAGACGGCAGTGTGCTTGGGCCAGTACTCGTAGGATGACTTAAGGGCTTTTAGTTAAAGAAGAGTGTTCTCCTGGGCGGGGAAAGCTGAGGAAGCCTTCCCTAAGAGGGAGGCATTTTACTTGGGTCTTGAAGTTGAAGTTAGTTTCAGCAGGAAAAGGGGAAGATGGGCACGCCAGGCAGAAGGAACAGCATAGGCACAGACACTGTAGAATCTGCCTAGATTCAGAGAGAGGGGAAATCTGGGGCACGCTCCCCTTCCAGGCTCTGGAAGGCTCTCATCTACCTGACAGGCTTTTATGGGCAGGGACTGGGCACTGCTGAGGTGTGGGGGAGGTTTTGCATAGGGTCTTGACCTTGGGCCTTAGTCCAGTGGCCCTGGCCTCTAACCGGAGCTGGCCAGATATGGGGGCCGAGAACATCTGCAGTCAATAATGTGTCTGTGGCAAGAGTCCTTGAGTGTTCTCGCAGGATCTAGGGCTGTTGGGGGGCCATTGAGACTCTGCTGTGTGGTGTGTGTGTGTGTGTGTGTGTGTGTGTGTGTGTGTGTGTGTGTGTG